GAGGTGTACTTTCTAACTTTTATTCCATCAAGTAATTAATTAACGAAAAAGTATATTTTCCTTATTAGATTAGTGCTATCCTAACAACTTCAACCTCCTCCTCCTCCTCTTCCTCCTCCTCCTCCTCCTCCTTCTGATGCTGACCCAGTGCCTTGCACATACGAGGCAAGGGTTCTACTGCTGAGCTACACCCTCAATCCATTTTTATATTGTATTTTATTTTGAGACAGAACAGGACCCGCCTGAGATGCCCAGGCCTGCCTCAAGCTTGGAATCCTCCCATCTCAGCCTCCTCAGTTGCCRCATCTGGCCCATCCCAATTTTAAGAAACTAACTTCAAATCAAAGAATTGGAACCAAATGGAASAGCAAAACTTTATAACTTAAATGGGGATTAATAAATGATTTCTTGAATATTATTTTTGAGAAATTAATACAATTCTATGCGGGGATGATTTTTTCCATTAGGCATATTAGCCACTGAGGGCCCATAATACTTCTTGAGGTCCCAAAGATATTTAATTTTAATTTCCTTAAAAATCAGAAGCAAAAATAAATATAATAATATGAATATATAGGAATGACTCCACCCTAGTTTGTACTAGTCTTTGTGGCATTTTTCATGAAGAAAAGGGTTTACAAACGAAAGTTACCTGGTACATAAAAGCCATCCAGTGGCTCTAATTCTATAATTATTATTATATAATAATTAATTAATTAATTATTATACCTCTGCCATATACTAGATTTTAACTGTCTAGATCTTTAACTGGCTTAATGTTATAGTGTATTAATTGATTAATTAACTCATTGATTGCAGTACTAGAGATCCAACTCAAGGTCTCACACATGCAAGGGAAGTACTTTACCACTGAGCTACATCTCTAGCTTGATATTAAAATTATAACTAACTAGGTTTTAATTGGYTTAATTTCTAAGTTTCAATTAATTTAAATTGAAAATCTAATTTATATAGTGATTTTTAGATTTTAATAAACTGTTTGTTGGTGTGATTTCAATTTTATCTGCTTCTAGTGTCCTAAAATAAGGCCAAAACACTACTTTAATACTCTGTAAAAGTCTTGAAATATAATTTTTGCTTTATGCCTTACCATAAAAATAGATTTATACCAAAGAGTGGCAGTAATGACAAAACATAGTTTGAAATCCCAGTTCAGATGCTAATTTGAAGTGCTAAAGGGAATGTTAAAGATAGATGTCTATTTCCAGAATAGAAACAGTAGGAAAGAAGATATACAGAACAGAAAGCACTCACATAGGACTGCCTCTACCATCACGACAGAAAAATAATGTTTCAAATATACACAGGTAAGTTTCCTAAGGTAACAAGAATCAATATTATGAATCTCAAATTATAAACAGGAATGACCCATGTAGTATATTACATTTAAAAAATAAAGACAGAGCATGGATGGTGAAAGGAGACCCTCATCATTATACAAAATAYATGTATGAATATGTGAATTTGGTGTCAACATACCTTATACACAGAGATATGATAAATTATGGTATAAAAGTGTATTAAGAATTGTAATGCAAAAATAAATAAATAAATAAAATCAAAAAAGAAAAAAAATAATGAACTTAAAACAAAACAAAATAAAAATAATAATAATAAAGACAGAGCCAGTTGTGGTGGTGCATTCCTGTATTCCCTGTGACTCAGGAGGCTGAAGCAGGAGGAAAGCATGTTGGAATTCATCCTCATCAATTTAGTGAAATACTATCTCAAAATAAAAAATAAAGAGGACTGGAGATGTAGCTTAGTGTTAATGCAACCCTGGGTTCAATCCACCCCTATCAAAAATAAAAATAAAAATAATGAAGGCAGAGTTAAATAATAAAAGATATTTACATATTTCCTCTTATTTCAAATGGGAKAACTATGAAATTCTGCATAGTGATATTTAATCCTGCATGCTATGTTGGGCTTTCTAGACACTTCCTTGCTATTTCAATGAAAGCATACTTCACCCATATGTGAAGTCTAATATACTGACAATCATTGAAGTTGGATGATGAATTCATGAGAGTTCATTATCTTATTCTCTACTTATATGTGTGTTTGGAAATTCCACAATAAAAAGGAAAGAGAAAATATTAGAATAAAAATCTTAATTCAATTACCCCTCACATTAATTTCTAGAGACTCAACATGGAAGGAAGAAAATGTACAAATTTTAAAAGACAACCTTCTCATGTTTGGTTTCCTTGTCCGCCTAAAACTGATGGTTGGAAACATTTTCCAAATAACAAACCAGGATTAGAACCAAAAATCACAACAGGTTCCTAGAGATGCTTCTTGTGTTTATTCACAATCTGACTCCATGATACCAATTGTTCTCATTAGGTTTGCTTTTCTTTTTACCACAAGCATTCGTATATCTATAGTCTTTAAAAGTGTCCTTTTGGAAACAAACTAAAGATCTTCTAAAGTAGATCCTTTCAATAAATCTTTTTGAAAAACTAAGTCCAAGTTTGGGTTTCACTAAGTTCTAATGAATTTGTGTGYGTACTTAGGGAGCACATTTTATACCCACACCAAGACTTTTTACCAGTAGGCCTCTAGTTCAAAACTGTGCTTTGTGGTGTTGGCACAGTCCTTTGAGACCACTTTTGTACCTGGCARTCCACCAGCTGGGCCTCCATGTCCATGGGCTCTTTAGGTGAACCCAGTGCAACATCCAGGGTGGCTTTAGTATTCAGGAGCCAGTGGTCCAACTCGTCTGCTTCGTAGCGATACCTYTGCAGGGCCTGCTCCTGCCTCTGTTCCTCCAGCTGATCATTTAACTTCTCCTAATGGAATAAGCAGAATGTAACACGGATCACTGGAAGGTGAACTCTTTAAGATTCAGCACAAGGGAGTTCTCAGCTCTGGCTGCACACCTGGAAAACTTAAAAAACAGTTTTTTAAGTTTTTTAAATTTTTTAAGTTTTTTTATGTGTGTGCTTGGATCACATCCCAAAACAAAAATTCAGAATTTCTCGAGGTGTCTCAGATAATTTTATTTTTTAAGATTACCCAATGATGCTAATGTGCACTGAGAGCTGTTCGAGGCATTCTCAAATCAAATCATAAGGGTCCAGATCTGTCCTATAGGACCAGGCAATAACTGCTGAGAGCCATTAGCCAAGTAGGTATGACAATTTCCTTGCCAGTGAACCCCATGTTGCTTAGAGGAAGGACTCGTGGAAATGGACTTGCCTTGGACATTTGCAGTGACATTGCATGTATGCTTGAGTAAGGTGACCTTGCTCAAGGACCAGGGCGGATCTGGGTTTAGGGCGGATCAGGTTTTAGGGAGTATCCTGCTCCTTGGGTTTAGGGTGGTTCCAGGTTTAAGGTGTACCCTGCCAGGAATAGGGCGTATCCTGCTGATTAGAGCCTGGTGGAGTAAGTGGATTTTGCCCAGAATGTGAATTTTTCCCCAGAACGTGTTTGTAGAGGGCAGGTGTGGAATTAAGAATTGCTGTTTGAATCTACAAAGCTGTGAGTGGCTCGTGATTTTGTGCCCAGCCAGACTGCAGCAAATAACTTGAATGATGCTGCTGATTATATCAGTTCAGTTGCTAAGGCTGTCCTCAAACTTACAACCCTCCTGCCTCAGCCTACCAAGTCATCGGGATTAAAGGTACCCAGCTAAATACCTTATTTTTAAAACTATCTTATTAATAATTCATTATTATTTTAAATCATAATTTTATACAATTGTTTAACATGGAGATTAGTAAGTAGGGCACACACATTAATTTTTGAATAGCTCTTAAATTAGAAATACATGAAGAGATAATTTAACTAATCTTACATAAGTAAGTTTAGAAAGMGCTTACACAATAGGGTCATGATAAATTGAATTACAGTATAATTAGCTGCTAAATAAAATGATCTTCTATTTATATAATAAGAAATGTATTGAGAAGKAATTATGTGCCAGAGAAGTTGCTGGGCCCTGGAGGTACAATGAGCCACACATTATAGGAGTCTCTGTGAAGCCTGTGGTCTAACCAAATCATAGGAGCAACAATACAAAAATGCAAACATCATATATACTCTTTAAAGCCAAGAGTTACAAGAGAATAAATAAAAAGAAAATTTGCTGATTTTAGCATATATATAGTATTAACACCGAAATCTATRTATTGAATAATATTTAAATTAAGTAACGTGAAAACCATTCACGTTGCAAGAGCATTTTCATGAATTATTGTGTTTAAATTGTTAGCAGAGACTAAGAAGAATTAGTCTTTATAGTACTACTAATATTTGTCAAGCACCCCTATTTAAACACAGCAAACCCTCACACAGACCTACAATGGCCCTCCGCAAGGCTCAAGTCTCCTGAGTGCTTGGTGCGGCCTTCACAAGGTCTTTGCCTGCAATGAGTCAGAGGGGCTGAAAGGACTCATTCATGGCTGCACCCTGACTCACACTCCATGCACAGGATCCTGTACAAACACCATGCACCTTCTCAGGAGTSGGGGACAGTGGATGGATCCTTGAGCACCACAAGAACTCGCACACCTGTTAGCAGGACCTGCAGGGTCAACTCAGAAGCACRAGGCAAGGTCTGCCTCGCCTCACCTCCAGGAGCTGCCGCTTCCCAGCCGCTTTCATCCTGATGGTGGACATTCTCTCGGCCAGGACGGTGAGCGTGGACTGCAAGGCCAGCTGCTCTGCGGGGTCACACTCCCGAGACTCAGACACCAGCTCGTCCGCCAGAGCTGACTGCAGCGCATTGATTTCATCCTGGAGCATGAGGATCTCGTCCATCAGGGCCTGCAGGAAAAGCAGTCATGCTCAGGCACGCATTTTCAGCCCAGAGGGGCAGCGGCACTGGCAGAGGCTCACATCCACTGCCACTAGTGAGAGACGGTCCCTGTGGATGTCATATTACCAGCAAATTGGGGGCTACTCACCTGAGTGTCAAAATGAAATACTGACTGAATGCYAGGATGTTTCTGATTTTAATACTATATAGGCCACTACCTAAAGTGACTTTGAACCAGTTAATTAAACTTTCTGACTTTCTGTTGAGATCCACGCCTGTCATTTTTGCCAGAGGGAATGGTTGAAAGGTGACTCTGCTCTGGGATTAGGGTGGCTCCAGGATTAGGGCGGATCCTGCTGGGATTAGGGTGGATCCTGCTGCCTCAGGCGCCTGCTACTTTGGAGTTCC